CAGAGACGATTAGACATGAATGTTGGATGAAAATTATAATTGAAATTATATCAACCAATAGAGTTCTATTAAAGTTAATCTTGCAATTATTATTTTCTATGTTTTTATAATTGCATGTAATATAGCGTCCCTCTAATTGTCAAATCTTTGAGAATAAAAATATGTTAACGTAACTTCAACATTTACTTGGCAATTTATTAACTAAAATTAACACTAGAATAGTATGAATTCTAGTGATAGTAATGTATTTAATTGTGCGTAAATTAATTGTTCGATCGTCGAGAAATTATTTCTTTAAATTTAATTGAATATTTTAATCATCTTTTACACACGTGTCCGATTTATAGTCACGCTGTCCTAAATAAAAATAATAATATCTCGAGTCTGATAAGAGCTGTCAAAAGGCCAATCTAATCGTGAAATCGTGCATCGGCAGCTGTCATAAATCCACCGTTGTTTACTCGCATTTGCTTACTCGCGAGTGTTTCCCCGCGCATTTAGCGACAGGTCTGATCGACGAGTTTGCCGGTGCGACTTTGCTTCGAGGATATATACAGGGCCTCTACCTTCGTGGTCCCGATCGACCCACCTAAGCCGCGTTACTTCTGACACGTGATAGATGGATGCACAATGGAAGAACACGCGTGCACGCGTGCGTGTTACCGCCGTCCGAATGTGTGGGTATCAACGTAGGTGGATGAGGATGAATGGCTCTCGTCAAACGGAAGGGACCGCCCGCCGTTTCGCGCCATAATACTCGTCCGCGTAAGAGGCATAGTAGGTCGGCTTATTGATGACCACGCAGCTACTTACTTACGAGAGAACAAGATATTTACCGAGAGACCCGCAGAGAGAAAGAGAGAGAGTGGCCTGTCCATTTTTCGGCTCACCTTATAGATTACGTCATTCTAAAATGCAGTAGTGTGAATTTAGAAGAATGATTATTATTTAGAAATTATTTCTCATATCATCGAATTCAAAAATATTTAAATATGCATTCTTTATTGCATCCAGGATTCCGCAATAAATAAACTTTAATATGACTTCCTATACATTTCTATAAAGAATCAAAGACATCTTTAGCGTGCCGAAAAAATATTATCGAGCAAATCTTTTTGCGTGCATATCTAAGATTTAATATTTCTAATCTCGCAAAAGAATCGAGTGCGCCCAGTATTCAAATATATAGTGATAAATACACAATGATTATATATCTTTCGTGTAATAAATTGTTTGATGCTACACCTACATTCGCCGCGTTTATTGACTCCCCCTCGCGTCATAGTGAAACCGGACACGTTATCTTCGTAAAACTTCTCGACTTCCTCGACTGTGAAAGCATTAATCGCGGGCGATCTTTCTCGCATATTATTTTCCGCATGCCAGTCGCATTCCCATATTGGAAAAGGATGAAAAAAACACACGGAGAAAACCATCGCGGTAAAATCGCGAGCGATAACTTAAAGCGCGCGGCAGCTCGCGAGAGGCTTTTTAATTGCGAATCGATTTCGACACGCATCATAAACACCTCGAGAACGCAACTTTGTGGCGCGACCTACGCGTTTACGTTATCGACGAGAACTCTCGACAGAGATTCTGATAATGTCCGGCATTTATCACTGAGAAATTATGACACACTTCCTTTTATTCAACATCGCTCTATCATTATCAAATTATCTCGACAATTTATCAATGCGCGAATACTAATTGGGAAATTAAGTAGCGCGACCGCTCATATTACGTCCGAGAATACGTCCGACATGACATCCGGGGAAAAAGAAAATGGAGGAAAATCTTTGAGGCGAAAACAGGAAACGTCTGTCGGTAGGGAAACATTCTCACGTTTATCACCTCATAAAACGACGTAAAATCAGGCCCCATGCACGATCCTCTTATTTCGTAGCTCGCACCGCTGAAATTTCCAGAGCCGCCCCCGCCAACCTGCCATGTACAGATCGATCAGACCTTCCTCTTTTGCACATAAATAAGTTAGACGAAATAATATAAAATTTGCATATTGAGAGAAAGAGAAAGTTGTTTGAAAAAACGACTATTCAAATAAACATCGTTAATTAATAATTCTTTAAAATTTGTATTTTTAAATAAATTTAAGATATATCATAGAACAAATAAGAATATTTACAATTCAAGGAAAATTTATAATAATTTTTTTTTAATGGACAATAATAAATTTATTTTAAAAAGTAAAATTAAAGTTTAAATCTTTTTTCATATAGCTTCTTAAAAGTTCCTTATATACTAATTTAAGAAAGTCAACAAGAATATTCATCATCACAGCACTGACATTTTGAGTTTTAAAGGTCTGAGATCAAGATGATATTTAGCATTCAATATTGCAGTTATCAATACACAAAGTAACGATTCTGATAATTTATGTTCAGATATCAAGAGACATGGAAACTTGTCGCGTCAAGTATACATTAATTTCTTATAAGAGAAATTTATCATCATATATTTTACATTCGAGATTCAGCAGACAAAAAAATATTTTTTGCAGATGTTAAATAAAAAAATAAAACTATATTAATTTCAATTATTAATTGTAACTATATCAATTTTCAGTACAATTTTTCTAACTATATATTTCTACATATTTGACAGATCTTATTTAATGGAAGCAAAATTATAGCCGCGACTGGACTGCATTCAATTTAATATGACCTTTAAACGTGTCTCGTGAACGACGAGTGAAAAAGCGGAAATCGTCAGCATGAGATGCGAAAGAGACAATAATCCGAAATAAAGCAAAAAAAGACCAAAAAAAATATCTAGCGGAGTGCCGATGCGAACAATGGTCGCCACAAATCAACGGGATTATGCCACTATTTTACACATGGATATGGCTGGCTCACATGATAAATCAAGCTGTCGTTCGGCCACAATAAACAATAACATTTGGACGGCCGGCTGGCGGGACGGCTGGTGGGACGGCTGGTGCGACTCTTCTTCACTTAACTCGGTCATTCGCTCGCACCGTGCAACGATCGCGCGTGTTATTTCACTGGCCTCGGTTCTTCTGAATGCGCGCCGTTTCATGCGATAATAAATCGATCGACAAGCGACATCGCGACGGGCGCGCACAAGAATTTTACGGGAATGCGTCGTGCGCCGCTCGGCGTTTCGGTAGCACGAAATTTACGCAAGAGGATCGATTTTCCCACACGCGCTGCTCTCCGCAATGATTGATTTTTGCAAATATTTCTTTCTTATTCACATCGTTTAAAAATTTTTTCAATAGTCGGGTAAATTTACAAAGTTATAATAGATGTTTCTTAATTTATATTAAATACCTCAATTTAATTTAATCTGTATAAATTAAAAAATCCGAATTTCACACTTCAGACTATCAATATCATAATTACGGAATTATTTAATATTAAAGATTAAAGATTAAAAAGTATTAAAAAAATTGAGCTCAACATATTGTTGGAAATTTAAACAGATGGATATTAAAAATTAATTTCATGCAATGTTTACTAAAAAATTAAGTAAAGAATGTAATCAGAAAGATCTAATTACATGCAAAATATGTTTGCGATAATTGAAATGTGTATAAATATTATTATTTATTAAAGCTGCAGCTAAAAGAGAATCTAAGATTTGTTTAACACTATTTATTATCATAGAAGATATAAAACTTATGTGGCTGATGCTTTCTGTATAATTAACATCTTAAATTTATAATAATCGAATCTCTCGATTCGTTTATATAATATAACCATTTTTAGCGAGAAAACTATATTCTGTTATTCTTACATTTCTTGCGTTCAACAGCAACAACGTCAACACAATAAGTCGAGGGATTTGGATTCAGCTCGAATCCGTGGATCGAATGTCAGGCACATAGATGTTCCTCGCTCGACGGTCCGAATTTTCTGAGGATCGGCGTAAAACGAGTCGAGGAATTTGTTTGTCGAACTTAACCGAGCCCACAAAACCGGTCGTGTATACCGATCGCAGCGGAGTGGTCGGCCGGTATCTGCCGACTAATTATAGCCTCTTATTTATTTTATTTACGCGTATGCGCGCGGACGCACTACTCTCTGCTCTCGTATATACGCGCGCGGAGTGGAGAGAGGAAAAGAGGAAAAGAGAGAGAGAGAGAGAGAGAGAGAGAGAGAGA